TATAGTAGCCCATCATAGAGGGTGGTTGGAGAGTTAAAGGAACATTCTTAGTAAAGCCCTCTCAGGTTCCTGCTCCTGAATCTACCCATAGATGTAACTGATTTCTTACTGCCTCCATATCACATAGGAATACAGTTCTGAGGTCAGAGTGACACTTGGTACCGAATTAGTGAAGTTGGTGCAGAGCTGTCAACCTTTTCAGTTAGAAGCCCTAAAGACGGACAGAAAACTTGAGGAATTCATGAGCAAATTCCTCTTCTTATGCTTCTCTGTGCCCCAGTTGCCTTGGAAAATTAAATCTGCCTATTTTCTGAGGATTATTTCCTTAATCCTCAGGTCTCCTGCCCTTTTCAGAATAACTGAAAGTGTGTTCTTAGGCAGTCTCCACTTTTTTCAGTCCCCTTTCCCTCTCTTTTCTATGCCTAACTCCCTATAGGACTCAGGCCAGGCCAAACCAGGAGAAACTTCTGTGGCTGTCCCTGAATCCTGTGTTAATGGTCAGGATCCTCAAAGGTTGGGAGCCCCTAGAATGGCCCACACTCATCTTCTGATGCCCTGGAAGCCTCTCCCAACTCCATGTTCTGCTGCCCTTCTCCTTACATGCCCTGTCTCTTGACAGATATGGGCATTAGGACCAACTCTGACCTGGAACTGCCTATTGGTCTCATACATCAGTCACTCATTTTGGGGACAGCTGTGGGCCATCAAAAATGACACTGAGTGTGGTTAAGGGCTTCAGCCAGTGATGGCAAACCTTTCAGATCTTTCAGTGATACAATCAGCCCAGTGCAGCTTCGGTTTGCTACCACTGGCCTAGGCCAACTCTGAGGGAAGAGTCCTTTTCCACTGAGACCAATGAGCCAACTCCTGCTGACCAAAGATAAAATCAGAAGAAAGTAGTGGAGGATAACATGGTTTAGGAGTAAGGATTTGAGGATGTGGAGAACTGGCAGGAGGTGGGTGGTTTCTTGTTGTACAATTTTCTCCTGGTTCTTTTTCAGCTTCCTTCTAGGTTTGGTGTCTATATCTGCCTGCAGGAGATATAGCCAAAGAAGCAATCTGCCTCTTACTCTAGCTCTGCTGGCAAAGACAACAAGAGACTTCATGGTAATTCACCTGTAAGGTGGAACTCAGAGGTTTCATACTCAACTGACAACTGGGAAGCAATTGCAGTACAGCTGTTCCTCTGGCTGAAAATGTATTCAGCTTTCCCATTTCTGTAATAGGGCAAGATTCAACCTTGCCTTTGAGGTATGTTGAATAGAAAGCTAAAATTCTTTTAGACGGCAAAACCTTAACAACCCAGAACATTTTGAAATTCTTTTGGGAGGATCATTTCTACTTGGTACCTCTGTTCATAAGACTTTAATAAGACTCTGTGACTCCAGCCAGAGACTGGGAAACAGAAGTGACAGACTTGTAAGAGGAGGTCCCATTAGGTCAGGTATGGTTAGTGAGGAAGACAGCAATGGCCCAGAGTTGGGGGCAGCCTGAGACAGCTCTGGGAACTTACTGCTGCCAGCCTCCTTCAGCGATACAAGCCATGTTCCCTCCTCTTAAAAGCTAAGCCCTCAGCTATGGGGAGATAGAAACTGGGGTGAAGGCAGAGAAAGTCTGTAAGCACAGTATGTCTTGTGAACTTGCATATGCAAGGGGCATCTCAGGTAGCCACAGTGTGGAAGGCATTGCAACAGTGGTTCAAATGATCACCTGCTTGACCTGGATCTGTGTATGGGGAGGTGGTTTCCACAGTGTGAGCAGGTGAAATCACAGTGTCATCCCAGCACCACACTTCCAGGCCTACAGCTGTGTACTCATAGTTTCCTCTATCAGAGCAGACATTTCCCACAGCTGTTCTAACTGCACAGATGTGACGACAGAATGATGCCACAAGTCATCAGGTGATCCGTACTGTATCCACAGAGATCGGTGTGTGCCTTGATTAACTCAAGCAAATCAGTCACAATTCTCATAACCACAGCATTTGGTTAGAATTGAAATCCTTGATCAGCCAAATCTGAAAAACCTGATGATTTACTGCCCCATAAGAATGCAGACTCACTATTTTCTGCAAAAATCATCAAGAGTTCAGTTCATGCCACACTCAGATACTGGCAGCCATCCAGATACTCTGACATGGCAGGAAGACCAGAAAGAGACCACAGGACCTGGGACCCTGTTTGGCTGCTGCATCTAGGTTTCCTGGGGCCAGAGTCACATTTCTACCTTACAGACTTGGGACCACAAGGTTGAATGTAATGACGCAGGTTGCTTCTGTTATTGCCTAGTGGAGTCAGAAAACTCAGATGTGGAGAAGGGAAAGAAAAGTTTTTAATGGCAACAAGCTGGCAGCATTGCATGGCTATGGGCTATTGGCTTCAATAACCATCCTACTGCTCCTCCTGTGGAAGGTCTTTTATAGAGCTTTTCTGGGGAAGGTATGTGGGCTCCAGATAAGTAGACACATTGATATTTCAAAAAATAATCACCTTTGTAATGTGGGCTGTGTACATCTCCTCTTCTTCATGCAGGTCAACAAGAGTTGCAGTCCAGTGGATCTAAAGACATATGCAATCCATCTCTGTCCTGACTTAGGTGACTTGTGCCTGAGTGGTGTTGTGGTTGGCAGGGTTTCTGACAAATGCTCTTTCAGGCAGGATGTTTCCTATAACTTGAATATAAGGAACACTCAAAAAAGGGGAGTTGTGTGCACTTTGCTAGCTGACTTTTGTGTCAGGTGAATCTAGAAGTGACAGGGTAGGCAGGAGTACAGGGAAATTTGGAGAACTGGGTTGTGCATGAGAGCTCATGTGCACGTTCAGGGGTTCACTGAACAGGAATGAATGTTAAAGTTTGGTGTATGCCAGAGTTACCTGGTGGCTTGGTAAACACAGAGTGTAGCTCGTCACCTCCTCCAGGCTGGGAGGTCTTAGGACCTGCGTTTCTAGTACGGTTGCAGGTGTTGCTCACGCTGCTCAGTGAGCACTGCCTTTGCAAAACATGAGTATTGTAGTGCTGGTGGAGCAGTGTCACATTCTGCTTTAGTGCTAAGTTCCTCTTCTAAATATGAATACTGCAGCATTAAGAAATTTGATTCAGAATATAGGATGACAGCTACCTCTTGTATCCATCAGTAAGGTCCTTTAAGAAAGGGTTCAAGTTGCCTTGAAGGGGCTCACATGAAATCAGTAAAGGAAAAACAACTCAGCTTTGCTGAGCAAGTCCTTTCCATACCATTGACTGAGAACCTGGTAACCTGCAGTCATGCAGGAATAGAACTGCAGAAGTTTCTATTTTAAGCTAAATTTACTGTACATAGAAACAGGGCAGTGAAAGACTTAGGAGGTACTGTAGCCCAACTGCAGCACTAACTCTCCTTTCTTACTCTTCCTAATAAATAATTTTCTTTTCTATTTAAAGTAGACAGTGTGTCTTGCTTAAAGAGTAGCAGTTGAACCCAATGCCTCACCCATGCTGGACAAGCACTCCACCACCGAGATACATTCCCCGCCTTTTAAAAACTCAAGATAGGGTCTTGCTATATTGCCCAAGCTGGCCTTAAATTTGCAATCTTCCTGCTTCAACTTCACCAGTATAGATTAGAGGCCTACATCACCATACATGGCTGATCATCTGCTATTTCTGAAAGAGCAAGGGGGATGTGACTCTGAGCCTCAGGTGGAGGATTGTCACTTCCACATGTGATCCAGCAACTCCATAGCATGTGAGAATTTGGCCTGGGCACATCCCCAACCCCAGGTCAAAATACAAAATACAGAACATGGCTGGACAACCTCTCTTCTGTTGGTTCCCTCATCCATGGACTGATCAGAAGTGAGTAGACTAGAACACTACTATCATGAGATGGGAGTTACAGTCCAAAGAAACCACGAGACTGGACCTGAAACAACTGTTTATTGCTCAACACCTACAGAAAACATCAAACACCTCACCCTCAATGGGTGGAAGTAGGCAGCTCCTTCACAACCCCAATACTACTCCCACCCGGTGACATCTCAGATGTCTCCATGGAGGACACTTTTCTAGGGAGGACAGCTGGGAACTCCTGTTGGGTCGCCATTCTGAAATCTCTGGGGAGCTGTCCACAGTGCAATTTTCCTCCGTTTGTCCTAACAATGGTCTCCACTTTATTTACAATGTTTTTTTTTTAAATTTTTACCCATAATATCTGTATTGAGGGAATAGGGATGACCATGAAATATCTCACTTAACTGAGGGCTTCTGTACCTGGACACAAGGCATAAAAAGCACTTGGCTTTGAGAAAGACTTGAAAATATTAACAATTATTATTAAGAAAGTTTGACATAAACACATACTTAGAATATTCATTTAAATATTCTGCTTTGGTAGTATCCATTGGAGTGGTGAGTGTTCCCAGCACAAACATATCATGAGATGACTTATAAATGTTGATAATTCCACTGGTCTAGAACTTTGTCTCAAGTGTAAAGTGGGGTCCCTCTGTGGCTCCCTTTTGTTTTCTTTCCCCAGATTCTTGTATTTCACACCTTTCTAATTTTTTCTCATATATATCTTAACCAGTAACTCTGAGTGGTTGGAAAACAAAATCAGATTCAGTGACATTTCATTGCTTAAAAAGCATATTTATTATTTCATCAGGCTAGACACAACACAAAATAAAAGAATCCACTAAGCTTGTATCAGTTTTGTGTCTGTGGTGCCATGTCTGCCTCGAACTAGCTGATGACAGATGCTCAACTGTCACCAAACAGGATACAAAAAGGGGAAGAGACCGGTGGTGAAGAAGGTATCCTGAGATCTTTCATACAATTGGTCACAAACTCAGAATAAAAATTAAGATTAAAATTAAATTAAAAAATTAAACATCACAAATAAATTAAGACTTAAGTTAGAAGTTCCCATAGGAGAGGTAGCTGTGGAGGTCACAGGTTGTTTCCAAGATACAGGTCTTTGCTCTCCTAGGAGGTCTGTGGGTTCCTGACTGCTTCCAGGCTGCTCAAGCATTGAGTTCTAGATCATTGATGTATTCTTGGACCCAGGCCTCGGTTGGGTTTGCACAGATTTGCCGGCCTCTCTTGGTTTTGAAGCTGTGGAGAGAGGAAAGTAGGGATCAACCACTGAGGACTCCCACAGGAACCTGCTGGGACCATAGTAGCCTTGTCATCCCAGACTGTGTCCTGAATAGCTCAGGGATGCTTTGTCTTATGCCAGTCTAGACAGCCACTCGCAGTGACTCAAAGGGCCCCTCAGAGTGTTCTGCACCTTCTTCCTGTCCCCTCCCTCTGTGCTGCAGCAGCCTTCCTCATTATGTACCACCCCCTGACACCAAGTCAGGTCACACCTCTGAGTCTTGGTTCCTATGAAACTGACAGCGTAGGAGTCTTTCTAGAATGTCTCTCCTAGACTGTCTGTGCCCTAGAAGACTATCCCCCCAAAACAGGCAGGAGAGTTTGCACTTACATGACACCTGGCTCGGTGCACTGACTGCTAGTCTCATCATAGTCAGCTATGAACTGGCGTGGAATCTTCTTGGACACATAGGTGAAGCAGCAGGCTGTCGGCGTGTCAGCACCAACTGCAGAGGAAGGACCACAGTGAGCAAAGTCGTCATTTAGAAGGAAAGGCCATCCCAGAGCTGCTTCTTTACAGCATAAGGACAATGATCTTGCTCTAAGTGGAGACTGGAAATCCCGTCACAGGCAGGCATTCAGCACCTTTGCCTGGAAATATCTGTCTCTCTTCATTTCTGCATCTCCTTTCTAACTCTTCACTGGGCTCTGCTTTTTCCTATGTGATTTGAAAGATTATTCTCTTGCCTCACCTTTCTTCAGAGAATTTTATCTGCTTCAAGACATCATGTCCCAGTGAAAGAGAAGGCAGGGCCATCTCTTTTGAGACAGAACTCCAGCTAGTGAGTAGATGGCACCACTAGGAAGGAACCAGACCTCCATTTTGCCTCTTGCAAGTTTGCTTGTTTAGGACCGATTGTCCTATCTGTACAAAGAGCCTTAACTGCCCTTCACACCCCAATCCTGGCTCTCAGAGATGGGAACTAGGAGAGCAATGGCCCCTTGTAATATTAAAGAGAAATATGGAGAAATTTTCTAGTCCTTTATGAAATTCTTTTTATTCCTTGGAGTCTGTGAGGCCATCAGAAAAAACTGGGTACTCTATTCATTCCAGGGAATGTGGAATCTGGAAAAACAGCACACACTCACCTGGTGCAGAGAAGACCTGGTAGCAGAGACTCATGATGCAAAGGAGGGCAGCGAGGACAGCCATGGAGACCCTCATGATGCTGAGCAGTCAGTGGAGTCTGGGCTTGAGCTTCAGCAGAACCGAGAAAGGCCTGGGTACTTGGTGCTGTCCCTGGGCTTCTGGTGTCTCCAACCATCTTCTCTTCCTTTTGTAGTCAGCCTGGGCCAAAGTGGAAATGTATTCTGGGGGTGACAAAGGAAAATCTGAAGCATGATAATACTGTCACCTCAACATTGCACAACTCAGTCTTTGGCAACCACAGGGGCTCCGGATGTTCAAGAATAACATCTCTGAGCTATGGGTCTAAGCTCTCAACTCATGACTTGCTCTGGCTTCTTTTGGGGAAATGGTTTCCTTATTAGCAGGAGAGGGCAATGGGTTCACTCGGAATGTTCTAAGCAGGTCATTTCTCATAAGAGCTGATCTATAAATAACTTCTCTCTCCCATTTCTTCACATAAAACAGAAACTCTGCTTTTTGAGGCCTCCCTAACCACAGGGATGGTGTAGCTGTGAACAGTGGCCCAGCTTCCCGGCTTCACCCCATACAGTGAACTGAATTAAGGTATCCCACATGGAGGAACAAGGAAGTACGAGGTCACCTTTCATTTCGTTGTTCATTATTCAAATAGTCATGGAACAACTAAGGCACTGGATTAAACACCAGTTTTAGACTACAAAGATACTTTAGGTATGGGTGTTAATATGTCAAGACCTAAAAATATTTAGACCCATTCATGTAAAAACAGCAATTCTAGGAAAGAATACCATGAACACAACACAGGCAAGGAGGCATCTTCAAATACAAATGTGGCCCAGCATCTCTTGGAACTCAGAAATAAGGAAACCTAATTTTTTTCTGTGAAGGAAATGATAAAGTAAAAGTAAATGGAGGCATATACATAATTAAGCCCTTAAATTGAATGAAGTCACACAAATACTATCATGAAAAAGCAAGACAAAAAAATTAGCCAAGATCAGGAATTATACAAATGTATGGAAATGTATATAGACTTTCTTAACAATTATAGTTTTGGAAAAACTAAAAACCATGGAAAATAAATGCCCCAAAAATGAACAATGCTTGTATTTGTGTTCTAGATTTTTGGTTGACTGATTATCTTTCTCTTTTTCGAGAGTTTTATCATTTTGTTTAGTGGAGCTGTAATACCATCCTTATCAGTCACAAACTGTACTTTAAAGTATTTATAAACATCACTGATTTAAAGGTAATTTGTCATTTGCCTAATTGGAAGAAAATTTTTCATAAGTACATTAAAATTTTTGTCCATTTGCCTCTGCTAGAATGAAGATTTAATTTTTAACATATCTGTATAATTTTAAGAACATTATATAGAATCTAGTTAAGCAATACTAAACTCAAAGCAATTTTTATATTCCTTTAAATGTTTAATTACAGTAATAAAGAAGTCTACACCAGCAGTTAAATCTGTATTTCCTTTTCCATGTTTTAATTATTATGTTTTAGTTAATAAGCCTCTACCACATTTTATAATCAGAAATTTGGATCAATTCTTTTTTAAAATTTGTTTTTAAATGCTGACTTCATTTTACGTGTATGGCTTTCTCTCCTTACTCTTTCCTGCCTGAGCACCAGGGCGACTACTATTCCCTCCTACGTCACATTCCCCCATTCCCCACCACCTACTTAAAACCCAGAGTTCCATTTTTACTAAATAAGAGACATTTTGGATGACACATTCCTGGCAGTGGAACAATGACAAGTATAACATATGCTAAGGAAATTTTTCACAATGCTTTATAGAAGGGAAAGCCAGATATCAATTATTATCATAATGAAATAAGCCAAAGATGATAACAAAGTGGCAGATGCCACTTTCTTGAAGAGGTTTCCTTCACTAACACAGATGTTGAATCCCTTCCTTCCAAATCACCTGAAAGTAATTTTTCACTTAATTGGTAAACTTGGTTGTCTTCTACTTTGAGAAGAGAAACACCTTGTTCTGATTCATCAGCAAGGTTTTTGTGTGGAAACTTGCTACTACATCTTGGGAGAGATTGATTTCAAGCTGCATTTAAGAGTGTTGCATGATCTTCCTCTTCCTCTTCTCCTTCTGACTAAACATCTCCCCTACAGCTGCTCATTGCCTTCCATGAATATGTGCAGGCCTCAACCATGTTATAATTGGTCAACCTTTAATTCACAAACATAAAGACAGCTTTGGGGCCACAGGGGACTCATGCCCATACCCATCAAATATTTCCTGGGCTGGTGGTGCACATCTGGGAGGAGGCAGACAAAGGTGAATGAGTAATGCTCTGAGAGGATATATCTTAATGGATATATCCTCAGACACCTCAGCCTAGTAGGGGCCAGTAGAGTATGTGCATAGGTAATCATAGCATTAGCAGAAAATGCTAAAACCCTAAAATATGATGAAGTGAAAGCTAAGAACACTCAGTATAAGGAGAAGAAAGTGATCTTCTACAGGAAGGTGAAGGAAATTTCATTAAATGGATGAACTTTGATTAGAGCCTATAGAATACACATGGATGGGGTGGGAGGTAGAGGTGCAGCTGATGTGAAGTAACAAGGGGGGCATTGTGGGCTCCGAAGGAAAAGGACAATGTTCAGTGGAACATCAGGAGGGTTTGGAGAATATAGATGACGGAGCTAAACTGGAGCCAAACCAGGAAAGACTGGAATTTTCCCCAAGGGAGTTAGAGTGGACATTAAATATAAGCAAGGAAAGATCTCACCTCGTGAATTCTGTCTTCCTTACATATCTGTAGAGCTACAGTTTGAAGAACACAGAGGCTCTGTTTCCACCCACCCTATGATTGCTAATGCTGGCTGAGAGGGAGGTGAAGCAAAGGCAAGACCAAGAGCAATTAATGGGAGGTTCTGTGGTGTCTGTGGCAGCCAAGGATTTTCCTATATGTCTACCAGTTCCCAAAAAAGAGTCACTGTCTCTTGTTTTACGAGGTCCGACTTTTCAAATGATGATCTCTCCTTAGCCACATTCTCTGTCCCCAGCCCTTCACTCATGGCCCACGTACATTGTCTCTCTCATTTCTTTTAAACAAAATTTTTTGGGAGTCTTCTAATACAAATGATGATCACATTCACTTTAGGGAATTTGTACCTATACATAATATATCTTGATTCTTCTGTCCCCCATTCTCAGCTTCTCCCTTCAACTGTATTCCCATTCTTATTTGCAAACTCTTTTTTTTTCCATTTTTGTTCCGCTCTGGGTTTTTTTTTTCCTTTTCCCCTCTTCCTCTCCCCTCCATCAATCATTTCTTAGAAAGTACTCCCCCACTTGTGATTCGGTTTCTGAACTGAGAGGAGAGAGAAGAGGAAATGGAAACTGCTGAGTTCACCACTTTTTCTGATAGCGGTCATAATGTCCTTCTAGGATTGCAGTAATTACCACAGCGTGAAGTAAGTCATCTATGCAAACTTTTCTTCAAGAAGTTAGATGATGTCTTCTTAACTTTAAACCAAATAGAGACGGTGTCTTCCTGGTTGATCCTAGTTAACCAAGTTTGGGCACCTGATGATCATAACATGGAGAATCTCCCTGCCACATCTCCATTTATCATGCTGATGTTGTTCTTCATAAAAGTGGTTTACTGAATGCATGATTCTTAGGGTTTATCTGTTTGTAAAATTTTCCAAATTAATCCCCTAACTAGGAAATTAACTTTTGCCATGTATGTTTGCTTGGATTGGAAAATGACATACTATTGGATGATCACTACAATTCTGAGGTGCATAGGAGACCATGTACCAAATACATTTTTAAAAAGGAAAATAATATACTGTTATGAATAGTATGCACTTAATATATATGTCATATAACTAATGGGAGCCATAGGGTGGTTGACTTAGAAGAATGCTGGAGATTTCCTAAATAGAAAGTGAATGTTCCCAGGTGATTTTTTTTTTTTTAATTTAAGCAGTGCTACGCAGTTGGAATTAGTCAGTTTTATATTTCACTCTCTGCATTATTCACCAATACACATACAACAGTAACTATATTGGCTGACGCAGTGAAGCTTACTAAATGACTAGTCAATGAATATATAGCACATTTGACTTATAATATCCAAGTTGTTATGCCTTCACTTTCATTATGGAGTTGAAATGTTCATAAGAAGGGAAAAATTAAGAGAGGCCATGTGTCACATTCTTGATCTTTGGAGAAGCTTCAGGTTGCTTAGATGGTGGTGACAGAAAATAATGAGCAGTCAACTTAGTGGATCCCTGAGCTTGGTGGGGCATGATCTATGTCCTAGTGCAACCAGCTTCCTAGAGTCTCTCACTCTGTCCAGCAGGAGTCCCTGAAATTCTGGCTGAGCAAGTCCTCTTCTCCAACATTATTGCCTTGGATGAGATGGAGATGCCTCTCCCAGATGCCTGCTGCGTTGCTTTCACTCCAGTTTCTGAGTTGTGGCTCCACTTTCCCAGATGTCAACTGCAGCAGCAGTGGCCCACGGGTGGGTTCACTGATAGTGACAGCTCGGATTGGTCTAGCTTCAGCCTAATTTGTTCATGATTGGCCTATATCGGTTGCAGCAGGCAAGGTCTCATCCTTCATGGAGGCAGAAACAAGATCCCAGAAGCCCCTTCCAGCACTTTGGAGTGATGAGGTCTCATGGATGTGATTCCTGTTCTGAGCCCAGCTCTTGTTTCCGGTCTTGAGTTTTTATCACTTTCTCTGGCTGTTTTGTGTGTGCAGTAGTTTAGGGTGCATGACTTGGTCCTGAGTTAGCTCTCCCTCCTGACTCCTGCTGTACGCTCTACCCAATAAATGCATCCATTCTATTAGGCATCCAAGCTAGGCGCCTGAACGTCACTTTGGATTCTTCTTCGTCCTCTCCCATCTCCTACACCTATTCAATCCCCAACTTTCATCTATATTGACCTGCCACTCCCTTCTGCTGTCTGAGTTGAGTGTTTAGGTTTCCACCAGAGCCACTGTCAGGACATCTGAGGTGCTACTGGCTTTTCATTCAGTTTTGCCCCTTGATTTAACCTCCATCTCCACAGCACCTAATGCAATTCTGTTAGAGTATGAATAGGTTCCTGCCCACCTCTGTTGATGCTCTTCAATTCCACTTCAATGTTTCCAGCAGGAAACAAGTTTCCCAATGATGTGACCCTGGCTGTGGCCTGACTCCCTCTCACACCAACCACTTTGGCTTTGCAAATTGCATCCTTAAGACTTCCTCTTAACAAAATGCAGGCCTTCTGAAGCACTTACAGTTCTCTACATGCACAAGTCTCTCCTGCTTTTAACACTGAAGCAGTAGCCTAGAAAAGTAATATACCCCTTTTGCAAAGTACAGGGCACAAATGAACCCCCTGCTAGGCATGCACACATGCCATGAATGCCTCACAGATCAACATTGTAAACAAATAATGAAAACCACCATTTAGTTGCTCAAATTTGCTAAGAAAGAGAAGTCCATGGATTCTGCTGTTCAAAGGCATGTGAAATTCAAAACTGATAATCATTTTATGTAATAATATAAGACTTTGGCTGTTCAGCTTTTAGTATAAATTTACAATAAAGTACATTTTCCTTTCTAATTTCCTTACTCTCCATAGAAAGACTTCCTTTATTTTGCTTGTAAACCTATTGTGAATCATCAGTGTGTTCCTCTGTGAATGGGTTAGCCCTCTGTGTTTTAGTATCCTCATGTGCAGAAGGAGGTAGTAATAGTACCTCTTGCAATAGGCTCTGGGAGGATTAAACATAGTAGTATCTATGAAAGCACTAAGATATTACTGGCTCTCACTAAGTGCAGTGCTAAGTATCGGTGGTTATTGTCATGATCATTTAAGTTTTTAACATTTTTAATTAAAAATTTTACATTGGCTCATACAAGTTGTACATATTTATACCTTCACCATAATGTCTTAGTTGGTTTGGTTTGGTTTTAATTTGATTTGTTTGAACTACGGTCTCACTTTGTAGTTAGACTGGCCTTGAACCTAGTATGTAGCCTAAGCTGGGATTGAACTGCAGTAATCCTCCTGCCTCAGCCTCCCATGTGATGGGATTATAGATGTGTCCTACCATGGCCAGCTTCCACATGCTATATATATATATATATATATAGTGTAGTATTCAAATTAGGGTAAGTATACCCATCTCCTCATTTACCATTCCATTGTGATGAAGACATTCAAAATCCTTTTTTCTAGCTGTTAAAAAAACACAATACATTATAATTATCTGCAGTCAGCCAACATGTAGGAGAACACAGCACATAGAGTTTGTAATTTTAAAAGCATAAAAATCTCGGGTTTTGACTGAATAACTCGTCCCGTACTGTGAGTCAGGTCAATCATTTTTTCGAATCTGATTTCAACTTATAATAGAAAAAAGGTTAGAATAGTTTCAATTGATTGAATTGAATAGCAGGATGGTTAAATATAAATTTGAAATCTCATGCAAAGAAATATCATGCATTCATTAATTCTAAGAAAAAAACTATGACATTATTAATACAAGAAATAATATGAAGTTCTCAATGTAAGTTATAAAACAAGATACAGAATTATAGAGTCATTTGATTTATTTTTCACTTCTTATACACTGACTATATTTTCTACAAAAGAAAAACATACTAACATACCTTTTAAAATATTTGTGCCTCACATTTTTTGGACGTCTTTCTTGACCCTTTACTACCAGTATCTTTAAGCGTGAGAACCCAGCATCTAACACACTGCCTGTCACATAGGAGTTAATCAATAAAGTTTTGAAGAATTATTTTTCTTTTTTGCTTGAGCACTGCCTATAACCTGCATGGAAAAGCCTAGAAACAACATAAAAGCACTATTCAAAGGAAGGCGTTTCATGAAGAATACTTAAAATGTTCTTGAACCACCATATACCTGCAAGACTTGTAATTCTCTTTGAAATTTAGCATTTCCTAGAGTCACTTCCTTCCATCCTTGATGGCCAAAGCAAAGGCTGTGGCATTTGACAAAGGTCCATTGTCACTTTAATAGAAGGAAACAGGCTGTCGTAGTGGTCACAATGTGGCAGTCCTGATGAGGTCTTCTTCAATCAGCTCAGGGCCCTGGGTGTCCATTCCCACTGAATAATTATGTGCACATCCTTTCAATTCATAATTCAATTTCTGCTCCCATTTTTCTAAAGTCACTTGGGTACAGTACTGGTGAAACCACATGTACTGCCTTTACCTGGTGTATGAGCCTGGCATAATGAATGTGTGTTCCAGCTCACTTTGTTTTTCCAGTCTCTACATGTGCCCTGGAGTGATTCCCAAGCTCTAGACATAGCAGCTCTGTGAGGCTGGTGCTTTGGGTTCTGACACCCAGCGATCTTCTCAGCATTATTGAATCCCAGCACTGCATTAGAAGAGGCTAGTTTGGGTCTGGAGAGATAGCTCAGTGGTCTAATTGCCTGCCTGGCAAGCAAGTTCAATGCCTCGTACTGATTACCTGGGAAGTTACCAACTAATGATATGTAAACTTAGAGTTTGGTGAATGCTGGAAGGCAGTTTGTTTACACCAAGTTAATCAGGCACATTCCCTAGCCAGTTTGTAGCCCTCAAGAAATGTGAGAAGTTTCCCTTGCTCAGGGCTCACTTAGAAATTAATCCCTAAGACCCCTGTGGCTGATTTCGCCCAGGCTTGCTGTCCTTCTTTTCCCTGATTCTTTTCCCTGGTCATTCTACAACACTGACCCCTCCTGTACCATAAAGTGAAAGCAGCCAGGGGAGGAATGTCTCCTACTTTTCACTCTTCTATTTTCCTTCTCAGAGCAGAGAAGGTTCAACTATGAGATTTGTGGTGAGCAGGAGGATCAGAGAAGCTGACTACAGATGAGGGACATTTTGGTCCAATCATCTGAATTTCCCTCCTTTGCCCTATTCCACCCACTGCTGTCTGGGCCTTGAGAACCTCTCCTTCCTAGATAGGCTGCCAGCAGCTGTGAAACCAGCCAGGGATTTCAGGGACATGAGGCGCTCCCTATGGAGTGATAGGGATACATCCATATTCTCCCTGTAACATCAATACGTTCATCTCTAGCTAGTCATCTTATTTATATAGTAGGAAAGCATTCTTTCAGTTTTACCCATTTGATTTTTGCTGATTTCTTTCCCCTATTTTCAAATCCACTCAGGAAAATATCCTGAAATCTTTACTTCTTCTCCATTTGTATTCTGTTCTGGGTGAGGCAAACCCAATCTCTCTCCTGAATGCACTCCTGAAAGATGGAAGGGGCCATAGTGGTCAATGGTTCCCCTCTGTGGTCACCTTCTATGTTTGTTCAGGAGAATACAGCTAACCTGGAAAGACAGACAGGAAGCCTCCAGATTCTGTTAGTGGCAATCATCAAGACAGTTTGGTCATTTTCCGCCAGCCCCTGCTAGCAGGTGTGAACTCACATTGCCTGTCAGACCCGAGATGCTTACCCCAGTCACTGTCATTGGTCTACCACTTCCTCTAAGGCACAGGCCACTTCTGCCCTCCAACTCCCTCCTCTTACTTCCGTGATGACATCGTCCTGAGAAAGAGCAGCTATAAGGTCTATACTTTCGGCCAGCTGAAGTTTCCTTATTAGTACCGTGACATCACTGTTACTGTGGAAATCTCACTTATCTCCTATGCCCCCACCACTGTCCCCAGCTTCACAGTCCCTATAAAGAGGGGTTCCAAACTCAGATCAGCACAAGACACAGGATCAGAGGCTTTTCTCAAGCTCCTCAGCTCTTCTGAGATCTTCAGTTTCAGTTCCCCACAAGCTTCTGATCTCTGCAGTCTTGGCTCTACCTTCACCATGAAATTCTGCGTGACCGTCCTCTCTCTCCTTGTGATCGTGGCTGCCTTCTGCTCTCCAGTGCTCTCTGCACCAAGTAAGTCCAACATTTCCCATTATTTTGTGAGCTAAGAGGGAGGCAGGGTCTATTCTGTCTCTGGGGCTGGTCCAACATCAGGATCTATGGAGAAATCAATTTGGAGCTCAGAATATTTTCAAGGACGTCACTATTCAATGAAAAGTCTAGGAGAATTTCAGTACTATTCAAAGTTTCATATTCTTAGGATGAACAGCCAGGAGAGGAAAAGGATGGGTTAGAAGTAAAACTCATGAATTGACTCTATCTCTGATTACTGGTTTAAGCTTGATTAAACCTTTCATGACTGATTCAACCTTAGTTTCCCACCTATAACTAAGACAATGAGACATGTTAAGTCTCAATCCACTTTCAACTTTGTAGAATTCTTTCTTGTCTTTTCTGAGGATCTTCTATCTACATAAGTGTGTGGGTTATGAGAAACCATATTAGGGGTTACTGCAGTGCCACAGGAGTGTTCAGTGAAGATCCATAGTTAGAAGCCAATATGAACAGGTCCCTTGCAGAGTTTTGATTTCACCCTGACTTTTCCTTCCAGTGGGCTCAGACCCTCCCACAGCCTGCTGCTTCTCTTTCACCCAGCGGAAGCTGCCTCGCAACTTTGTGACTGATTACTATGAGACCAGCAGCCTCTGCCCCCAGCCAGCTGTGGTGTGAGTATCAATCCTGGGGCTGTTCTTGTAGGCAAAGGTGAAGGCAGGATTGAAAAGAGGCCAGTTGGGATCAGAGGGTGATAAAGAAAAGAAGTAGTTCTCAGGTTGCATCCCTGCCCAGAGCAGTAAAGAATCAGATTATGAGGTCACTAAGTCATGAAAGAGGACGACTTGGTAACAAAGATTAATAAAGGATTCATGGAGAGGACTCTAGCCATAGTGCAGGGAAGCAGGAAGAGTAAAAATGATTACATGAAATGTGGGTGCATTTCTCAAGCCATACTTGAAAAGGTGAAATAATCATATGAGCAGTGGTAAGGAATGGGGGAATGAATTCAGACTGACTGCAAAACTCATTGGTTCCTAATCTAGGAACATGCTAGAGTCATAGGTGAATCCAGAGTGAGAACTTCAGGAAATCTGGCTTCGGTGCCTCCAAGAAGAGGCCCATTAGCTAGAGCTGTCCAGCAGAGCTGGGGTCAAGCAAAGTGAGATGTCCGGGATTGGCAAGGAATAGTAGCACATGATTTCAAAGTTTTTGAGATGTTCTAATCTGTCTCCTTCTCATTCTACAGATTCCAAACCAAAAGGGGCAGGCAAGTCTGTGCCAACCCCAGTGAGCCCTGGGTTCAGGAGTACATGGAATACCTAGAGCTGAATGAGGCATGATGTCTTCAGGAAGGGTCACCTGAGCCAGATAGTTCTTGATGAGTTGCACCTTATTCTCCATGCTAACAGCACCTCTCAGTATTTCCTACCCCTTGACATGGTTTAATCCTTTGTATGCATTTTGTTATTGTCTTCAGTATTATTTTTATTATTTATGTTTGACCAAAGAATGTCTCCTATGGGGATGGTCCATCATCACTGTTCTCTGCTATTGTGGATACACGAAAGATGCATTGAATTCCAAGCATTTTTATAATAAAACTTTTTGAAGAATGTAATTCACTGGAGCTTAATTTTATACAGCTTAAAATAAATTGAGTGGTTCTATTACTTGGGACAAATTACCATTTCTAAAACCTATAAGAATGAATAATTACTAAGTCCTTAGTTTACGCTCTATGAAGTAGCACTGACTGTAACAGGAACTGAACTGGAGGTTTCCTGGGAAACTAACAGAAACTGAAATGTCTTGGCTGGTGGGGGAGGATTTTCTGCTGCAACATGAGCAATGTCCTTCAGGTCATTTTCTTTTCTCACTATTATACCTATCAGGTTTATACTCAGCACTACTCTCTTTGGAAGATACATAGAGAAATATTTTAAAATTATTTTCTGTACTATTTTAATATACAATTTTGGACAACACCAAAAACATAGTCTTTCAATATCTGAAGAGTAACAAAAGGATCTATGATGAAACTGACCATCCTTATTAAAGAATCAACAAGTTAAGTGAAGATTTTAATAGGCAAGTTTTGAACAAAATATGAGAAGAATAAAGAGCAGCCATGGGGCAAGGGGGATTCAGGGGGCAGAAGGATGCGGGCCTGCCTGCCTCATATGTCCAGGTAGAGCCACCTCCACTGTAGGTGATGCCTCACTTCCCACTCCTGCACCACAGCGGCAGATCCACTCCCAGCCACCTTTGCTCCAACTCCCCCTACACCATGGTGTTCTTGCCCAGAAGCCAGCATGGATTGAATTCCCCCCAAAATGCAGTGCATTGCTATTTCTAACAGTCTTCTGGATGTCAGGCTGCAGAAGTGAAGTTGCACATCATCCCTGCTCTCCCAGCCTCCTGAGTCCTCACAGAGCCAAGTGTTGACCCTAGCAAAAGTTCCTTCATCTAATGACATTCAACCAACTTCCAGAATCCTGAAATCATGGAGGGATGCATGGAGGGACTGTTTGCTAACTGCTGGGATGATAATCGCCAGCTTTGCAGAAACCTGGCACTTTAGCAAGGATCAGGTGATCTGCTTGCCAGCTTCACCATGTCATGAAAGTTCAAAGGCACACAGGCCTCCAGGAAATGCTGCTGTCACTTTCATCACCCCCAAATAGAAGCAGCCACTATCCAAGACCAATTTTGGTAGATAACAAATACATAATCTTTGGTACTTCTGCTGTAAGACATAACGTAGCATACCTCTCAGAGTCACTTCTCCTTACCTGGTGTCACAGCTCCAAATCAGGAGATAAAGAAATAAAAGATTGATCCAACAGGCTGGAAACAAACTTGGACTCTCAGGAATATGTATTTGTTGATGTGATGTATTGCCATCTTGGTCTTTGGTGGTGTTATAAATACTCTCTATATCTTCCCCTTATTGTTATTGTTCTCAAAGACAGTACTAACATTTGGCTCAAGTATCCCAAAACAATCTCACAAGAACATTTTGTGTCAGTACCAAGGAAATACTGGGTGTTTCTAAGAACTACTAAAGCATTGTCTGAGAAAGCATGTGAAAACCCAGAGAAAAACAAGCAGAGAATAACAGTTTTTCAGACTCTGTCAAAGCATGAGCCCACTAGCAGTGAAGAGGTGAGCCAGGAAGCCAGTTCTTCCATAGGCAACAAAACTATTGTCAGCTGAGGAACCTGTAGTCAAACTGGTTAGTGGAAAATAAGAGGATACGTGTGCACTGGGTTGTAGGCAACAGGCTAAAATCCTAATTCCAAAAGGGAAGCTCTGTGCTCATGTAGAAGACAGTCGCTTGATTTATACATGCTGTGGATTCCAAATAGTTATCAAACCACTCAAGTTCATTTTTGTTCTCTGCGATACTACGAGCTTTACCAGTGCAATCAACTTTCAACATGTCTGCAAGCCAAAAGCTGTCAACTTGACTGGCTAGGAGGCATTGGAGCACACCCACTGCATGATTTCCATGTTGAGAATTCTTCTCGTCAGTTGTATATGCATTATTTGTGTTTGTGATTTTATCTGCTTCTACAGCATCTTCTGATTATTCAGGATACCTTGAAAGGAATATTCTTTGTGAATCCAAAGAAAAGAGCAGTTTCTATAACACTTCAGGTGTCAAAATGATTTTGCATTCTTTCTATACAGAATAAGCCAATGTATTTCAAGTGTTGTGCATGTTCTCATCATACATCAGTGAAAGAAACTTAGGGAAATTAGCTTAAGCCATGTGTAGACATTTGGAAAACTCAGAGAACGTGTGTCACTCGATGCCCTGGACAAACAGGTGTTCCTCCTAATCGTGTTTTCAGGGTGCCCCACTCTCTTTGACCTCATGGACCTGGATATATTAAAACTTGAACTGATTCCCGATGTTCAAATTGCAGCTAAAATTTTGCAAATGGCTAAACTCTCAAGAACTCCATCTCTACCACTGGCCAAGAACATTGTGCAAACTGATTTAAGCTATCTCTGTGACCATTTCAGATGCCTTCATTTGAAGTTTACTTATATGGCCAGAATACCTGACTGGGTTTGTTTGCTAGAGAATCATAAGAGTTGAACTTGACAGGCTACTTGAACTTGGAAAAAAGTAAGATGAGAGATCTTGAATTCCTCTGAGAGTTGTAGCACCATAAGGTCTCCATATGAAGAGCAATTTGACTAAAGTCCCCTTGAATATTAAGGATGTGGTCACATATCTTATGAAATTAGTCATTCACAATACTGGTACTTATAGACAAGATATCATATTTGCATCTTGTACTAAGAATAACTACTACAAAGACAACAATATGCAGTGCATTCATTATTGTAACTGTCCTACTAACCTGTTTTGAAACTATCTCATTGCTACTTCTTTATCAATAAAATTAATATAAAAAAATACTGGCACTTAACTTGTGGTACTAAATAGCCTTAAAAAAGTGATGCATGTTGTTGGACTGGATCTCCAGAACTGGGAACTACAAGAAATCCACTTTTTTTTTCAGCCTAATTAACAGGAACCAGACTTAGAGTCAAACAGCATGAGTTCCCAGTATTCAAAATGAGTAACTAATTTAAAGTCATAATGTAAGAAAAATATTACAATTTCTCCCTCCGTTATCCATGTCAAAAACTTGGAGTTGTTTTATTTCTCTATAAACAAGCTAGAATTCTTCCCTGTGGAAGTATTTAATTTATAGGAACTCAGATGCTCAGATATAAGCTACCATAACATGTAAGGGATTCCAACACAAATAGGCCTGCTTCAGAACCTGCAGCCTTTGCACATCACTGGGAACAAAGTGGATGTTCTGTCAAAGCAGTTGCTCAAATGTGTGAAGCTGAGGACTTCAAACCCAGGGCTAAATGGCTTCACATCCCTCTGAGAAAATGTTGGTCAGCTCTCCCAAAGGAGAGCTGAAGGACACTGTTAGGGCCACTTGCCAGCCCAGGTAGGCCCATCTCTAATGTTCAAGAAAACAGGATTGCTGTGCAAGATTACCCTTTCGATTCTGTCACACGAAGTCAAGCATTGAATCAGCACATAAATGCTCCTTTGCAAATGGAATTTATACTGAGATAATAGGTGGACATCTGTGTGAAGACACAGCTTCCTGGATTGCAAATGCTCATGTTAAAGTGATTGCAACAAAATGCATTTTAGGAGTAGCTACATCTTATAAAATAAAACATAGAG